GTTAAACGTCTGTTTCATATAATATTTAATTTTATAATATTGCTAACATATTACGAATGTTAATTGGTAACTTTTTTTTAAATACTTACAAGAATATAAATTTTTAGTGGAATAGAAAATAAGGAAACGCTTGACATTTTTATGGGTATATTTTTTTAGTTTGGATTATTTAACCACCATACCCCTAAATAAAGTCACACCCACAGCATTCCTCAGAATTTGGGGAAATCGCCAAAAAGTCCAAGGGTGTTGACCTCGGCCTATCGTGCGGATTTACCTAAAATTTCAACGATTTAACACAAGCCTAAATTTTCATAATAAACCGCATCAGGCTTTTCCTCGAATAACTAATTAGCTGCAATTAAGTATTTGCATTGCTGCAACCAAAAGTGACAAAAACGAGTGTACATTTTATAAAAAAAAAATAAAATAGAAATTATAAGCGCCACAATCAGCGAGAAATGTGCTAAATAATTTTATACAAAAGAAATCGTTTAGCTCTGGGGATACACGCCGACAATTGCAGAGGTGGTGGTTGAAAGCAGGGGGAGTGGGAGGTGGGGGGAGGGCGCGACTGACTGAGAGACTGAGAGATAGACAAGCTGTCGCTGTAATTAGCAGTCATGCATATAAAAGTGCATTCACTTTCATTCTATGACTATGAGATGTTGATGATAATGATGCTGACGATGATGATAATAATAATGATGATAATGTTAATGATGATAATGATGTTAAGAGGAGGACGCTCAATGACGTTGGCAGGCAATTTGCACATTTATAGGATTTGTTTATAATGCATTCTGCGGTTGCCGCTGCCTTTGCGGCTGCCTCAACCCCCACAGTCGGCAATGCACTCGCAGTCGATTTGTAGAAAGCTGCCAAGTGGGTAATAGTAATCGTAATCTAGACACAGCATCGCATATACGCCTATATAGTTAGTAGTTTAGTTAGCTCTTCGGCGTCGACAGCTTCCGCTGTTCGCTGTTCCACAGAGCGTCTAAGATGCCGGCATTTAGCCGGACGACAGCCTATCTCTGAAACTGGCAGTGGTCGATCTGGCATCTGGGCTGTCTGTCTGCGTGGCGTAGCTCATCAGTTGTCAGTCTAATTACAATAACGTCCACAAGTGTTGCGATGTGACAGTTCGGATAAGAAAACAATTTTATGACTAACATTCCAAACTGATTCGAAATGTTTGTTCAGCTAGAGCGTTGCACGGCTACGGACCGGTAGTCACAACCGTAAATTATTTTTCAATTTTTCCATAATTTACGTTATTTGCCAAATGCCCTATAAACATTATAAACGATTAACTTTTTAACTAACCGCGTGTACGTGCTGCATTGGTATTTTCACGCCTTGCAATTAAAGATATTGATTTTGGCATTTCAACGCATAAATATGCAGAGCAGAAAGAGAAATAAAATGAATCAAACTGAGCTGGAAGAAAAAACAAACATGCCCACCAGATTCTAGCAATAGTACATAATTTCAGCTAGCTATAAATTGCTAAAGATTTATGGCAAACTATTGCGACTAATCGTTCAGTAAATCAGGCCGTAAATGAGGCTATTTGTACAGCGCAAAATATAAACTACAAGTAATTTGGCGTTTAAATGAATCAGTATCGAAAAATACCACAGAGATTTTTCGCTAGGAAATCGAACATCAAATTTACATTCAACGCGATTTAGTTTTATTGCTTTAAACAATTCTAATCAAAAGCTATAGTTGCATGTAAATAAAATTGACTTCAAAGTTAGAGAAACACGCTCCGATTTTGGGTAATAAAATGTTGGCTTTCATCTTAAACTCATTTGAGAATTTAATTCATTTGAATAATCAGTTGTGGATCCACTATTGTTCAAACATTAAATAACGCCTTAAAATCTTCCCTTTTGAGGGTTAGTTGATAAATTAAAACTTTAATTTATAAGTAAAAAGGTGCTATCAAGAGATCCAGAAAGTATAAATATATTTGATAAAAATACTTATTGTTTATATCCAAGTAAATTTAGAGACAGATTTAAGAATTTATTTGAATTATAAATTATAGTAGAGGAAAATTAATATTGTGTAAACGTGTATTCAAGTAAACTTTAACTAAGCTTTGAGGTTGACTGACTTAAGAATTTATTCGAATTATAAATTATAGGTAGAGGAAAATTAATATTGTGTAAACATGTATTCAAGTAAATTTTAACATAGCTTTGAGGTTGAAAAGATTCGATACAGAAATGTACATAGAAAGAAAATAAATACCCATTTAAATCAAGCAAAGTAGCTAAGTAAAAATTATTTGCAATAGCTATTCGTCCATTCCATTCGAATATTGTGCAGGATTCCGCCCAAGCCGAGCGATCTTTTTAATAACCCACATACACCGCTGTGTACAGTATTTTATAGGTCGTCCAACTACCAAATTACTTGTGCTAAATTTGCAACTTTGTTATCCTACTGTGGCTGCTTTTATGGGGTAAAAATTTCTTGGAAGGACTCATTTCCATTGATAGCCACAAATTGAAATCAGCTTAACAATTTCGTCAACAGCTCTCATAAAATTAGTACGAAACGTTAACAATGCCAAATGATTGAAAATAAGAAGCAGAAGGCACCCACACACACGCACTCAAAAATCAAATGAAAGCAAATCAATTGTGAGGCATTTACAAAGATTTACATATTCGCAGAAATAATGAGGTGGGCGTGTGCAACCTTTTGGCAGTAAACTGCTAAATGTGTTGATATATTATGCAAATGTTTCCTTTGTGTGTATCTTCCACCTGCTCGAAGCTTGTATATCGTTTATTTTGCACAAATTTAATTTAGCACAATAGCAACAAACCGGGGAAAAAGAAGCTATCCGAGAGTACATTGCAATATTGGCAGATCCGTTATGTCCGCAGCTCGCACTAGTTGGCTGCCATTGTCGTGCCACATTGAAGGGTCCTTACAGACTTTTTGCCTGTTTGCCTGGCTGCTTGCCTGTCGGTCGCTTCATGATTTTCGTATTTGTTGTAAACAAACCAACAGATACGCCCGTGCCCGTGCCTGGCTAGAATTTATACATCTTTATTTTCTTTTTTCTGTGGCTGGACTAGCAAAATGTAGGTCATCTGTACCATGGGCATCCAGGGGTATCCACAAATCTCCTTATTTTCGCTTTGCGCATTTTTTTTTTTTCAATATATGTATGAGCGTCCATTGTTGTGAACATGAATTTGCAAATTTATTTCCATTTCTATTTATCTTAGTGTGTGTATGTTTCTCTTGTTGTTAATGCTTCCATATAGCCAGCTGCCCTTGCAGCTGTTGTCTTCTTAATCGAATAGCAAATCGTTTGGCAATTTCAAATTTAGCCAGCTAAGCAGCGATAATCCGACAACATACAAATACAGACATACCCATGCCCCATCATGCTACATGCCCCGTGACTCTTGCCACATTGTGAGTTCCTTTTGATTACAATTTCAATTTCAAAGTGCGCACTGATTTGCTACTTTTATGCGCTTCCAATCAGTCGTCATCGAGGCACAGCTTCCGCCATTAGCATAACCCAACATGACTGGAGGCGGCGGCAACCGGCGCCAGGTGATTGCCAGAAATGTTTTTTGTCCCTGTTTGATTCATTTTCCCAGCCTTTTTTTTTTGTTCATTTCATTTTTGCATGCATTGTTAAGATTCCGATTCCAATTCCAATTGGCTGCATGCATAAAAGGTGGCATTCGGCATTTTTCAGTTGCCTTTGCCCTTTGCGGCGGACTTGTAAGCCTTTAATATTTGCTGACTAACAGACGACATGTTAGTTACTGTACATTTGCCTTAATCCTTTTGTTTTAGAAGTGGACATTATCTATAGTTTTTTTTGATTGATTTCTGTACCCTACATTGACCCTGGAAGGAATGCAACTAATAAGAAATATTGCAATATAATTCTTTGAAATCTAAATTTTACAGATCATAATTGTAGAATGTTTTATAAATTATAACTGATTTATGGTCAATTATGATGCTTCTAATCAACTTTTTAATAAATAAAACTTTAATATTTTAGTTCAAAATTGATACACATATTGCTACATGTCATTAGGCCAAATTTTAAAACGCAGATCAAAGAAGATAATAGACTAGATAAAAAGCTATCTGTCCAAAAATGTTTTGACGTCTATTATGTTAGGCATATAAATTTTATAAAGATCACTTGACAATTACAAGCATGTTCACAGCATACAAAGATAATATCGTACATTTTATTATTCTTTTGAGAACAAAATAGTCATTAAGAATAGCAAAAATTACTCCAATTATCGTGCCGAAAAAGCCATATTTGTGGAATACTGCTATTTTTCGCCTAACAACCTTATCAGAGTAATTAACCAAAAATAAATTATTTTGATATTTATGATCGTAAGCAACGAATGTCTATTTGTGCCCATTGTTATAATTAGGTTAAGATTATAAAGACTAAACTTGAAGGCATCTATTCTACTCTAGCGAATAAACAATATAGTTGCAAGGGACGTATAACAACACATTTATGGACGAGTATAGAGTTAAGAGACTCGCCAGCGCAAGTACCCATAACATTTCTATTTTTTATTTTCATATGTCTTTTCAAAATGTACATTGGTATATATACATACATAAATATATGTGAATATCTGTGGATACAAAGTTCAGGCAGCTGTTCTGCAATCTGTCAAGCTAAAGTCATTGTTGTTGCTTGTTATCCTTATTGTTGTTCATGTTGTTATTGTTATTGTCGCTATTTACTCTAAAACACACACACTCACACACATAAAATAGAAAAACAGACGGACAGACAAACAGGCAAATAAATAAACAAAGCAAAGCAAACACCGCTGAGGGCACATCCGCGGGTCATGCAAGCAGCAGGAGCAGCTCTAAGGATGGGGGCAGAGCACAGACACCAATGCCATGTGTTGATGTTGCCGTTGTCAACATGGCGAGGTTGCCAGTTCCCGTAAAGAGCTTACCTTATGGATACAATACGAGTTTTTGATGCTCCTAGACGTGGGACAATCCTGAAGCGCGTTTTGCTGCACAATTGGCACCGCAAGGATGCTGCTTCTGTTGCCTGCCCGATTTCCTTAGCCCGCTTCCTGTTGCTGTTGTTTTGATGCCTTGGCGCGGAAGTCAGTTGTTTTTAAAAGTTTTAAAAGCGCACCAAACGGAAATTGACACATAAAACCAACGCTCCTCGTGTGTTTATTGTTATTATTGTTGTATAATCGGCCTCTGGCGACTTAATAGTTTATGACATTACGCATACGAAGCGTTGTGCGAGACAATATTGTTTCTTGTGACTCTTTTTTTTAAATTGCGTGTTGCAGCCGCAATGCACTTGATTTGTAAATGCAGCTGTAATTTATAATTGCGGTTTAGTCAATGAATATTTAGGAGCGGGCGCGGGAGAATGAATTTCACATTTGTTACTCATACGCCGCGTGGTGTGACGGAACGAAATATTTGCGCGCGCTTCGCTTAAACGACAGCAAATTGCAATTTGGAAAACAAATGCGAGCGTTGCAATTTGCAATAATAAAAATCACAAAAACAACAACAATAACAAGAAATTTAAAAAAAAAAAACAATTAGTTTTTGCCTGTAATAAAATTAATGAGCGAACAACAAATAAAATATATTTACTGATGGCTCTTGACCAAGAAAGAAAATGATGAAATAAATGTCTGGTGATATTTTTACTGTCGCTGTTGTTGTGTGTGGGCTGTTCACACCGTCTAATATGCTCTATTTAACAGAAAGTCTCGTCATAGTTGTCCAAATATTGGCGGGGTGCCTTCATTATTTTGCTTATTATAAACAACAAAAACTATAAGCATAAGCATTTATATATTGGCACATATTTGTACATACATATATATGTATAATTGTATATGCATAACAATGTTGTTGCCGCTCGCATTTGTTGTTGTCTTTGCTGCTGTTGTTTAATTTATTTATTTAATTTTATACTATGCGCACTCACGCACCCACAAATCGTTTTGTCTTTGGCTGCTCACACGAAAAACTCTTCCTGCTGTTGCTTCTTACAATTCTCTACGGCGATGGTGACAATGATGGCGACAATGTCGTCTCTGTCCGCTGCTGTCGTTCTTGTCGTTGTCGTTGTTGTTGCTGCTGTTGCTGCTGCTGATGCTGCTGCGGCACAAGTTCATACAACCACAACGAATGACCGAGAGCAACTGAGCTCTCGTGCGAATTGCGAAGAACATTTATAACTTTTGCTCCTGTACGCAACGACAGCGTACTGTGGTTTATTGCCCACTTCTGCCAGTTAAAATCAAAAATTCATTTTTATTCAACCACGCTCTTTTCTATATTCCAATATTTTAATCATATGCATTTATTATTTGTATTTTCTTATATTTAAATACCTAAAACTCGTTCAAATCTGCCAGACTGGACATATTCTTCTCCACAACCAATTTAAAATTAGTTCAATAAAAAACTGAATGTAACTAGCTATATGTATTAAATACTTGGGTTAACACTTGTTTTATCGACCAATAATAAATAAAATAAAATAAGAAACTATAAAATAATAAGAACTCTTATTATATGTATTTTAATTGTCTTTAAGAATATTAAGAATAAATCCTAGATGATTCACAATTGTGACAGAGGAAAAATTACTCTGCCCCACTGTGCAACGCCAGCAGCGCTGATGCTAACGTTAATGCTGTCGATAGCGAAAGCGCCAATTGCTGTGGGGGCTGCCGTTGGGCTGCCGATGCTGCGCTAAGACCATTCTTTGGCAGTCGACGTCGACGTCGACGTCCTATCAGCTGCTGCTGTTACTGCACCAGCTGCGGGCGCTCTCTTCGCTCGCGTTCTCTTCGGCTGCGCTCTCTTAGCTCGCCACGCTTGGCGCGAAAAACTGTTGCTGTTGTTACTTAATCGCCGGCATTGTTTTACTCAGCGTTCTCTATACACTACCGTTAAGTAACAGCGCGAAGGCTATAGCATGCTACTTAAAGTGAGAATTATCTTTAGTTAATGAGAGATATGCAAAATTGTATTTTCTAATATTCGGGAACTAAAGGACGAGGATATGGGTTAAAATCACCAGACTAATATATAAATGTTTTATTGTCTTAGCCAAAGGCCATTATAGCCACTTCTATGTAGACTATGCAAACATTTAGGTTCATAATAATATTAATAAAATTAATAATAATATGAACGCACATTCCCAACTTATTATTCAGCAAAAGCTTTAATGATCTTCTACAGAAAGGGTATCCTATCTTCAACATGAAACGCTGGCATTTCCGCACTTACTCTTATTTTGAATATAATGCATAAATGCTTTTGAGTAATGCCCGTATCAAAGTCACTTTTAGTAGCTGCAGCTTGCTGCCCGCCCAGCAGATCTGGGCATTGATCAAGCAGTAGTCGCAGACGTATAGTTATAGTTTATAATAGTCACGGCTATGGCTATAATTATAGTAACAGTCTATTTGCCATTAGCCGGCACGTGGCCAGCACCGATCGCTGAGCGACGACTGTCAGTGACAATTTGCTTGATAGATCACAAAAAAATGCTGACAATTTGTTGACATTTTTGTATTGTTATTTGTTTGGGGGTTTTTGTTTTTTTTTTCGGGTGGGTGATGCTGATGAGTATGATGATTGTTTAATGAGTTTTTGCGCTGGGTGTTCGTTTTATTATTATTATGTCGAAACTATTGCCAAAGGCGGAAACACAGAAATATAAATACATAAATGTGATTAAACACATTGAATTTAATTCTATTAAGCTGAGTAATTGGCTCTATTTGTGTGCCCGAATTAGAGTGACGAATAATATTTTTAATTTAAGTATTATAATTTTTGTAGTTCACAATTCCATGTCTAGGGTTTTAAATAAACAGTTAAATTGTTATACATATTGATACTGGATATAAGTTATTTGGACTTAATTATATTTATTAAGTATAGCTATATTTAAAAGTGCAACAATAGTGTAAATGTAGGCTTTATTTCTCAGTGTACCCAAAGTACTCTTTAGATAGGCAACATTCTTGCTATTTAACAATAAAAACTTTGTAGTTGCAACTTTAAAGCTTATAAATATTTACCTAAATAAAAACAGTCACAACTTTGTAAGAAGCGCTTTTATTATTCATGAAACCAAAGAACAAATGGGCAACTTTGTTCAGCTGCTTAATTGTCGCTAATTGAGTAAAACATCACCAAATGTGAAGAGTCAGTAGTGATAATGAGGTGAAAACCGGTTTAAAAGGTTGCCAAATGTTTATCGTATCTATAAAGCAGATCAACAAAGGAAACCACATACTAATTAATAATCCATATAGAAACAGTAAATTCTTGTAATTACACAATAAATTCGACTCTATAACGCTATTTGGTTCCCCTCGAATCAAAATACCTATTGATACGCTTATCTCTAAGCAAATATTAATCATACTCCATCCTGTTATGCGCACAGAAGCACGGAACAATGCACGGAAATGCTTCCGAAGTGGAAAGCTTATCAAAAAAATCCAAATAATGTTCAGTGTGGGGCGTATGAGTTATATACACATGTGTTTTTAATTTGAAATTATTACTCACCCCAAATTTAAAGTTCACAAAACAAAATCGCGCAAATATTCGGTTAATTATTTATAATTATTTGAAAACTTGAAGTAGAGCTCGTTTATAAAATTTCTCGCATGATATAAAAAAAAATAGCATGCGATAAAATTGGTCTCACACTTATCGCTTTTGGCGCACATTTATAAGCGTATAGAATATACGTAGTTTGATATTTTTGTTGCAAAGCAAAAAGAATTTGCATTTTGTTTATTTCTAATATGCTGGCACTTAAATAATTAATATGTTGTTTTTGTTTATTTATCAATGAAAACGAAGGCGCAGCGGGAGACATTGATTAAGATTCTGCACAGAGCCGTTTCCATATCTATATACATACGTATATATGTATGTGCATATTCTAATTAGATTTCTTGGCGCTACACGATTTTCATAAATTAAAGGCAAATATTTCGTATTCGCATTTGATTAGAACAAAGCGAACCGTTTGGCTAGCTGCGGAGCACAGTTAAGCTTCATAAGCGGGCTCGACTTGCAGTGTGCAAATGTCACTGATTTATGGCCAAGACCAGCAGCAGTATGTGTGTGTGTGCGAGTGTGTGTGTGTTTGGGTGTGTGCCAGTTTGTTTTGTTTGACCAACTTAACTGGTTTAATAGCCCGGTGCCTAGTAATGGCGAGTGTGTGTGGTACTTACTTTTTGCCTGGTCCTTCGACGACAGCAACGGCAGCTCCAGCTCCAGTTCCAGTTCCAGTTCCATGTCAGCTGGGATGTCATGGGTTAAGCCAGCAGCACTTTGACGTTTTGGCATTGTTTATTCGTTTTGTTCTTTCTTTTTGTATTGAAATCAACATGCATGGACATTAACTAATTATTATTATGCGCAAAATGGCAATTTGAGCTTTGATTTCAGTTTTTACGACTTGGCGCCCCCCGTCTTATCAGCAGCTGGTACGCTTATCACCGGCAACACTTGACCATGCGACTTGCTTAGTACTACTACTACTACTACTACTACTGGTGGCTACTAGTTAGTTGCTCTAATAATGCCCTATATACGCGACACTCGGTATCGGTAGCACTCTGTTAATAGTGGTTGGCAGCTAGTTAGGATTGCGCGCTGGCCCCACATATATCACGTTTCAATTATTAATACTGCATATTCCAAATTGGGCAAACGTGTTGGCATTTGTTCCGTTTTGGGATTTGCTTTATTAGCTTTTGCGAATGCGAATCGATTGGGGCGTTGCTTGTATATATTTTATAGTTTATATATATATTTTTTTTTTTTGTTGCTACGGTTTCAATTATTTTAGCTTTTAATTTGTTGCCGCGTTTTAGTTTTTTTCGCACAACGTGCGAACTGTGCAACGGACAGCGGCCAACTGACTTACTAAACGCTGCTCTGGCCAGCCTTAAAGTCGCTTCACTTCCATTCAGCTCCCTCCGCCTCGGCTCACTTCTGTTCCGTCCCGTCTCTGGCCATTGAGCCGCACTGTGTCTGCGACTAAAACTACGACAACAACTGAATTGGGTAGCCCCAAAAAAAAACCAAAATATATAATGATAAATTCGCAGTGTTGCTGCCGGTTTTTGTCGTGTTTGTTTTGGTCTGATATTATAATTGCGAGTGGGCAACGGCAAGAGGTTTGGCATTGGCTTTGCGAATCGGATGGGATCGGATGGGTTGGAATGGGTACTGTTGTGGGATTGGCGCGTTAAAATGTATTTACTCATTCATTGAATGTATTTTAAGCAATTCTCATTTGTTTACCAGAATAAAATAAAAACAAAGCACACTGTAAAACACGGGTATAAATTTAATTGACAGCTGAATAACATCGTCAGACGCCGAGTTGAACTGAAATAACCCCGAGGTTATTGTTTACCCAATATAATTATGATGGCAAAATATACTTGCACATGTTTAATAAGTAGTTGCTAAGTACCTGTCTAAATAGCTGATGATGTGTCTTAGACACCATGAAAAAATTGCGAACGGAAGGTGAGCAATATTGAAGCTGTTGAAGTCAATCTATGACCGCAACGACTCAGTTAATTATTTCAAGCTAAATGTTCGTTAAGTCTTCTTAAATCGAGACAAGTTGCTAAAAGTATATGCTTTGGATAGACAAGTCATATTATATTATTTAAAACAGAATAAACATTTTCCTTGATTAAACTCATTTATATTCATTTGGCAATATTCACTTATTATTATTCATTACACTATCTTATTCAGTTCACACAAATGTATATATTAATCCAATAAAATAATTTAGCAAATTTTATTATAATAAATACAATATTGATTTAATTATTTATTTTAATTCATTTCAATTATTTTGAATATTTTTCTCTCAAAGTGTTGCTTCAGTTTAAACAAATATTAAAATATATATATCTTATAGTAAAAGCATATAAGAAATTCATTTGCTCTTAAAGTAAACAATTTTATGCATACTTACGGTATGGGTTTTCCGATATTTAAAAAACTTTTCTGATATCATATTATATGGGTTATTAAACGTGATCGAGTGTTCCCCTGTTTTTGCAATTATTTCCTTTATATTGAGGGATTGTACAAACTATATGTATATATATTTATTTGTTTATTTACTTTGTCTTCACTTTTTATTAAAATCCACTAGATTAGATATCGGTGAATCAAGTGAAATCAAATAAGCTCTGAAAGTTTGCCCCAAAAATGTAACCCCAAAAGCCCAACTAAGATGGGACTCAAACCAAAAAGCACGGAAAAAGCTTTCAAAATATCCTCAGTGGAATTTACCTCGCACCGGAGGCGCTGAATCTGTTTACATTTCCCAGGATATTGCTCAACCGTAACCACATAATAGGGCAGAGATTTAGCACGCATTAAACAACATCAAAATAAACAAACAATTTCGCAGACAATTGGTTCAAGCAGTTCAAGCAGCCACAACGAATTGTGGTGTGAGGGCTGTGGGTTAGTTGTTAGGGGTGGGGTGAGATTATCCTGCGGAAAAGTGGTCGCTGTTTGCCGGTCGTGCGTCAGCGTGGAAATTCACAGACAAATTTACTCTGGCCATTTCTGGTGTGGATGCAAAACGCTAATCGATATGTTCCAGACGCAAGTCCTCGATCCAGACAGCCCAAAGCCAAGTTACCAGCTAGGGGTGGTGTGGAGTGTGTGTGAAAGAGTGTGTTTGATGGGCGCTGCTCCAGTTGACTGCACTACGAAAACGTCTTGACACCACCAATCTGTTTTTCTGTCCTTTTGTTGTTGCTGTTGTTTGTACGTTGACGTGCGTCAACCCTTGAAGTACATTTTTGGAATATGACTAGCAGTGATTGGACTGAATATTACCAGTTATGTATTAACCTTGGGAATGTGTCTTCTGTGGGCTTAGCGTCTACTTTTCAGAGAACAGGGCAAAGAAACTTATAAAGCTATGTTTGTATTATTAAGACTATAGTACACTCTTAAAGGTAAAGATAATATAAAAGAACTCCTTCCTTTAGAATAAACTTTTATTAAAGAAAAAATAAAATATTCTTTAAAGATGGTTGAACTTCATGTGTAAATTTTATATAGCAAAGAGATAACCCATGTCCAAGTCTGTGAGCTTCCCAAGTTTTTAACATATACTTTTATTTCACGAGAATTGTTTTTGTCATCTATAAATCTCTAAGAAATAGAGTGCTGCATAAGTGGTTAATACCTGTAAGTCTTACTTGAAGACATGAGAATCGCAGAATAGGGAAATAATTACGTTTTTATCTTATTTAATGTGCAGCGGGAAATAAACTTTGTTTGCCTTTTTATATAAAAACATACATATAAACGTACATACATACACACCTAAAAATATAAACTGTTAAACTAATCAAAACGTGAAAACCAATAAGCCTTACATGACATTTTGAGAATCGCATAATCATAGCTAGAAATAAACTTTTTGTAAGTCAAGTAGATGAATTTGATTAGTTACTTCAATTAAACATTTAAATATTATACAATAATATAAATAAAGCTTTCGTTGTGGCCGTGAGCATATTTTTATTACCCTATTCTTCTATCTAACTCTACGTAGTCAAATTGAGATCCGTTTAAATCCTTTTCTAAATAATCATATGCATATGCCCACTTATTTTGTTTGACAGGCCAAGAAGCGACAAGTACGATAATATGCAAATCAAATGAGAGTGAATTACTTATTTCCGTTCTTTCCCACAGTCGGTCAAGTCCAAGTGGAAGCGTGCATTGGCGATTATCGCCTAGCTCGGGCGCATTCGTTTGAAATGCGATAATTTAATTGTGGTCCAATGACATATCCGCCGCACAGCTACAACAATAACAACAACAACAACAACAACAATAACAACAACAACAGCAAGAAGAGCAAGTATAGTAAGGTACCAGTCATTGCTGGGCGATATTCAGTCGAGGGGTTGTTGCAGCGATTGCCGAAGTTAAATTAACAATCGTGTTTACATTGGTTTGTAACAAGATTTCACTTAAGGATGTCAGCTTTGGGCTTGCACCGGTTCGCAGGACACGAGGCGCCGGGGCACTTACCCTGCATCAAAACTGATTACTGTCATCAGCTTTGTGCGCCGCGGAGTGTGCGCCGGCGTGCGTGTGCCAACCAATTTGACTGGTAATGAAAAGGTTTGCGCATCCGCGTCCGCCCTAGCATATTGTTTCGGCATTGTTCGACTTTGCCGGCGATGGTTTTTCGCGCCTCGGGGTTAGCGCACGCGACCTGGTCGCCTGCCTGGGCGGGGCGGGGCGAGCAGCTCTGACGTAGCTAATTTGTGCGTAAACCAAAACATCAAATAAACATAATTCAATTTCAACAATTGCCCCGTCTGTCTGCTGTTGACAAATCTGCGGTTTCAAGTGCTGCCCTTTGAGATACAGATACATAGATGTATCCCCAGGAATGACACTATATGTTATATGTACATATAGATAGCGCGGCATTTGTTAAATGAACTGTAAACTGTAACGGACTGCTATGCGATGTGATCTGGTTGTTGCAGTTTCGCGCTCAATTTGACGTCTCGTGGGAATCTGACCGTTCCGAGTAACCCTCTAGCTCGAGGCCAAAATGTCAACAGGTTGGATCACGATCAGCTTTCGAAAGCGATGCGCCACCATGTTGGTCTCACATTACCAACAGCCAACACGAGAACCTTAACGCACACATGCCACCTAGCTGCCGTCTACCGGGATAGAGTGCAGAGAGAGAGAGAGAGAGAGAGAGGCGGCCCCCTGATTTTGAGCGTTCACATACAAAGCTTGCCAGGACAAACATGGCTGCCGCCTGCTGGGCGAAATATATTGGCAAAATGTCAAAAACAGGTGAAGTACAAAAGGGAAATTGTGGGAAGTCAGTTATGGGAACTGTAATATGCGCTACTTAAAAAACGTTTCAAAGGTAATTATAAAATACATATATAAATTTCTTGACATTATCTTCACACATTTTATGTAAGTAACACATTCTAATACAATTTCAAAAGAACACAACGGCGCATATGGCAACAGATATCTTATAGGCTGTTTAATAAACATATATTGGATACAAGATACGAATCCTTGGAATATCTAACTCCTTTTCGTTTCTAAAGTTTATTACCTCTTACCACAGATTAATTAAAAAACAAATTAAGTAAACAAGTCAAAAAAAACAACATAAATCGTATGAGATTTTAGTTTGTATGCTTTGCTTTCAGAAATACCATATAAACACTTTAAAACCGAGCCGAAATTTAGATTAATATTAGTTTATGATAATAAAATCACTTAAGCATTTTTTTTAACAACTTTTATAATTCACGAATATGATATAAGCATAAATACTATAATGAATATATTTGTAAAAAGCAAATCCTATTTAAGATATTATTTTTTAAAATTATTAACAACTATTACAATTTTTCACAAATAAGGTCACTTGAACAAATATGCCTTAATATTTTCTCACAGCCTCCGCTGGCAGCAGGTTTGCGCGAAATCACCCTGTAGTACTAAACAAGCTCCGCCCTCCAGAATCCAGGCGAATAGTTGCAAGGATACTTAGGGGTTGATGAGACTGTGTTATTTCCAATTGGACCGGCGATGCTATAAAAGACGCAGAATTCCCAGGAGATGTTCTCATTATACATTCAAACTTATTGGACATCACAAGCGTAGCAATTGGAATATTTTAAAATATAAAGTTATAAAAATTGTGCGGAAAAACAAAAAAATGTCGCGCCATCAATTACCAGATTCTTCCTCATCGCCCCCCATAAGGTGAGAAGTAGTGAAAATATCGGAAATCTTGGGAAATCTCTGCAAAAATAGAAAACACACTCCATAAACTCTATTGTTAATTAAAGGCAATTTTGAGTTATAAAAAATTTTACAAATCCTCAAGCTTCCAAAAATTATTTCCGACGGCAATTGAATGCCAACTAAAAGTCATGAACTTCTCCAACAGCCATATAGCCTACCATAACTTTGACGATGATCTAATTACTGAGCTGCCCTCCTGCATCTATGCGGGTCAACATCAGAGTGGTGTCGGTGGTGCCGGTGCATCTGGTGGCATCACGGCTGGCGGGTCCGGTTTGCGTCTCAGTTCCAATAACTTACGGCACATTCAACAGCATTATTTACAGCAGGGCAATGGTAAGTCAGCAAATAATTTCAATAAATTCGAATTTTCGAATTTTAAATACCCCTAGACATTTAATTGAAGTGCCATTAGGTAATCCGATCAAGTGGATATAAGCTAATATAAACTTTGACCGACTGTTCCAATGGGATCTATAAAACTGATAATAAAAAACTGCTCCATTTTACTTTGATCTCAGAAAATATGCTGGACTCATCCACTAATACCAATACGCTGATAGCGCTAAATTCCAACAACACCACGCCCTTGATGTGCAATAGTCCAACTGCTAGCAGCAGCGGCGGCGGCGGCGGCGGCGGTGGAGGTGGTTCAGGTCCTAGCTCGGGACCGGGACCCTCGAGTGCTAGTTATGGTGCAGCGGCCGCATCCAGTTACAAAATCCAACGGCAACAGGCAAATGTGCGGGAAAGGAAACGCATCCAGAGGTCCGCACCAACTGGGTACACTAAATGGTCTTTTCCATTGCACACTTAGCTATGCCCTGCACTTTCTCGAACTGTCCACTAATGAGCACTTCTTTTCTCTCTCTCTCCCTCTCTCTCTCTTCCTATCTTGCGCTCTGCAGTAGTATCAATTCGGCCTTTGATGAGCTGCGCGTCCACGTGCCCACATTTCCATACGAGAAGCGTCTGAGTAAGATTGATACCCTTCGCCTGGCCATTGCCTACATATCGCTGCTGCGCGAGGTGCTGCAAACAGACTACGATCCTCTCACCTATGTGGAGAAGTGTCTGCGTGGTGAGATTAAAGCAGATCGCGCCAATTGGAATACAAGCGATTTGACGGCACGTCTCTCCTGGATCAATTGGGAGAATCTGGGCGTGCATCCTGGACGTCGCACTCTACTCACATCCCTGGCATTGTCCTCGGAACCAATGTGCGGCGCACACTGTGGCATGCCATAAGCCTATTCGAGATCAACTCAGTTGCGCTTGGTTAGGGGAAAGAAATTCTTTGTTTTTGAGTGCCAGCAAGGGATATTTTAAAAATATTCAAACTGGCTTAGTAGACTATGAAATTATGAAAGTAATTTCTAGCTTCAAAATAATTAAAAACATATTTTGTGAAGTTTAACAAGTAAGAAGCTCTAGTCGAGAGCTCCCGACTAGGAGATACCCTGAACCCTCTTCTACCAACACCAAATGCAGATCGCGCTACGCGCTCATTTGTTTTAGCAGTGTTAAAAATAAATGTAATAAAAAAATTAGTTCCTTCGATAGGACCCGACCTCGTAACAGACCACCCTACTTGCCACAGCCCCTACTCAATCGCCATACCACCAATTGACTCTTAGCGAGAAATTCTTGCGCTTTGCGCTAGCTGCCGCTGAGACGTGGGCTGCCAATATATATATATATATAACTACACGTTTTCTTTTATAGCATCTGTGTTTCGTAACCTATCTTGATGAAATTTTCAAAAGTAGATATGCTATAAAATATTTGTATATTCTTAAAAAGACAATTGCATTAAAATTGTGGCTTAAATTGATGTGCAATACAAATTGGTTTATTCACTAGATTTATAGCGGTGGTATTGGGAGGTGGCGATAGCTATAAAATGAAAGATACTTGTTATATACATATTTCTAGAAGCTACATGTCAAGTTTGGTGACGCTATCTCTTAGAACTTACGAGATTTGCTCAAAAAACAGGATTTCGATATCGATTTGTATTGATTACTTGTAAACGGGGCATGCTATCGACTATCGGAAACAAACTCGTACTGCGCGGGCAGTAGGAGGACCTATAAAAGGACCCCAAATTTTTCTAGCTCCTATAGGTTCTGAGATCCTTGCGTTCATATATACGGACGGACGGACAGCCCGAAGGACATGGCTAGAACGACCTAGCTATTGATGGTGATCAAGAATATATAAACTTTATGGGTTCAGAGAAACTTCCTTCTGCCTGTTACATACACTGGCACAAATACATTTAACCCCTTTTACCCATAAAAAAAAAAACGTTATATAATTTTCTCAACGTTCAATCGGAACGGAAAATCCAGTAAGTCCCAACTCCAAATATTGGTCTCCAAAAAGTATGCTATGGTATATAACAATTGATTGAAGCAGATCCAATTAGACAATTGATCACACAAAAATATAACATATCCTGTCTGTCTTCCCTTAAATAATTGTGAATACTTGCATTTGTCTTATAAGTAAATAAACATAATATTAAAGAAAGACAATTTCATTTCTAACAAATAGCAGTAATATTTATTTCAAAAGCATTTTAGTTGCACTAAATAAACAACACTGTAGCATTTTTAAGTTTGTATTTGTTCGCTGGTTCGTTAGTTTTTGCCTAAAAGGCTGACATACGCGATGTATGTGTTAACAAATCAATTCCTCAAACTATATATCCGGATATATGTATATAAATATATATATGTATTTAGTATCAGTGTAGACAGTGAGTATTTCAAACTATAAATACAAACGTACATAATAGTAAATAGTTATGGTAATTTCTTTCTTTTTGTTTGTTTGTTTGTTTGTACGTAGCGATCAACTAACAGGCATTTGCAAACATTTAACAATTTAAAAGCACTTTAAAAAATACATGTATAGCTTGAAATTTCCTTTAACACACAGCTGCATATAAAGTTTATATACTACAAAATAAATACTAATATTTTTGATCAAGAAAATTAAGAACGTAAAGTCGTATGAAATTTACAGACATACATAAAAGATACTTGTGTATGTGACGTTTAGCCAGGCGGTATACTCTAGGTCTATCCGTTTGTAATTTAATTTTTTTTTTTTTTGGCAACAACTACAACTACTGCTAATGCACACACACAGAAGTACATGCATAAATTGTACAAATGTGTGCATGCAGTTAAATTTGTTTATTTTTCGAATTGGAATTTGACTTTGGTATCATATTTAGTTTTGCTTCGAATACTCCAAATTTGTTGGCTACAATGAGGCTATACACAAATACACACATTAAATTGTACATACAAATATAATACATATATACGCATTGGACACATTTAAACTACATCTCTAATAATTGAATTTTACGATTGCTTTCTTATGTTTTTGTTTTGATTTTTTGTGGGTCGTTTTGTGTTTGTTTGTTTAGTTATTTCCCATTTAGCACGGCTACTTTGCGCAAGCTTTCGAGCTCGCTACGTTTCAAACGCAACGAAAACATGGCCTCAATAAAGCTATGGCAGTCGGTGACTATGCTATCCTGAATCATAGTGTCGCGAAACAGATTTGCCAGTGCAGCAATATCCTCGCAGCCCAGTATGGCCCTTTTGTGGGTTATAAACATGGCCAGGGCTGCACGAAATACAATCTGAAAAATGCATTCTTATTGATTAAATTCCAAGTGTGCATATTAATGACTTGCCTTGGGACCCTCTGCAAAAACGCAATCCCATATTCGCAGCACAGTTTCCACAGGCAGAACCTCCGCAAATATGCAAATGAACCATTTGCTAGCTATCACCGCGTAGGGCAAACCTGTAACACGAAGATTTATTGTGCATTTTTGGATTTTTAGGGATGATCCAAACTTACCCAAGTCTTCCACATGCCGATTAACAGCTGGCAGACGCCTTATGACCAACTCCCTAAACACGGCCAAATCACGCAACAGATTGGCCATGTTATGTGAGTGATACTGTGGCACAATTTTCTCAACGATATGCTTAAGCAGCCAGAAGGACTTCTCCTCATCATCCGTGACAATGAGCAACAGACCAGCTATATAATTAAGACCCTGGCAATAGCCAACATCGCGATTATGGTGTGCATAGGCGCAGAGTATATTGAAGAGGCGCTCCTTTTTGGAATCAAAATGGATATTGTCCGGAAAAGTACGAGGTAGATCGATTGATATGGAATCGCTAATTTCCTTGTTGAAATGTTCGATATTTAATAAACTACGATATAGATTGGGATTTCGTTGCTTTGCCTCATCGGCACCAGTGATTTTCATCCAAACATCCGCACGATATGGACCTGGTATGCCCTTGCGTATATATCGCTTTATCTTTGGACTGATCACGCTGAGATCGGGATTCTGTTGCAGTATAGCCTCCCATTTGATGCGTCGCCGCGTCAATGTCTTTAAGTAATTATCCATAAACGTTCCGTAGTTCTTATAGTCGAACTTCTCGCTCCGCTTGAAGCCGTACTCGTCAACATTGCTGTGTACAAGTGAATTTATACAATTTCATTTGTAGCCATTATTTGATAAAAATAACAGAAATATTTATATGGGCGTCAGCATCGCTTGGGATACACCGGATATAATAGGGGCATAGTTGTTTACTCTTACCTAAACTTGGAACTTGCGGTCGCTTCCATATGAACTATGACTAGTTTTATTGCTCAGTTGCTCAGATTAAACTGTAAATATTTGACGGCTTTTAGTCCGTTAGTCAAATATTGTTGTTGTTGGTGTCGTTGTTTCTCAATTGTTCTTCTTGGTTCATGGCCCCCATTAATTGCTTTTTGAAATTGTGCGCACGTTCGCTGCTTCCGCTTTATGTTGTTGCTGCTGCTCTCCCTGCTGCTACAGCGTTACAAGTTTACCCGCAATAAATTAATAATAAAAAAAAAAATCAGCATCGATAATTTTTTTTTTTGACGGGCTAATTTATTTATAAATGTCCATGTCACCTACTTTTTACTGTATGTGTCCTTGAGAATTTGCTATTATGCGCGCTAAGCACCCACGGTTGCTGTTGTTGTTTTTGTGCTGCTACTGTTGTTGTTTTCGTACGCGTTCTTAGCGCGCCTCGAGCACTGATAACATTACAAGCAGCAGTGGGTGGCAGGTGTAGGGAAATTTTTGTCACACGCTTTACGTTCCGACTTTCACTCTGCTTGCACTGTGTTATTGAGGTTGGGTTAGTTTAGATGTTTGATAACTTGTTTGTTGTTGTCTGGTTCCGATTTCCAATGGTTTTATTGATGTTTTTTCCTTTTTCTGTGCATTTTTTATTATTCGATCACAAGCAAATGTTAATGTTATGTTGGCGAATGTTATTGGCTCAGCATTAAAATTTTGTCAGAATGCATATGGTTATAAGTACTGGCACTCACCTGCTGGCGTCACATTGAGTAAATCCTGGACTTTGGTGCCATATTTCAACCGAATTGTATATAAATTATTTCATCTTATCTCAACTTTGTTTTCCTCGCGAGTCGCGAGACCAGGTAACAGCAAACGTCTCTTCTTCTTCCATTCATATACGGTAACTCTAATAATAACAGCAATGCAAACCGACGACAACATTAACATATGCTGTTATTAACAGTGAATATTTAGTAATTGCTGCAGTAGTAGCCGGTTTTCGCATCATAAATAATATTTCATGACTTTTATTTTAACAAAATTCGATCTAAAATAATGTTATAGTTCTAATCAATTACTTAATTATAGAATTGCGGCAATTTTGGTATTTATGAAATTTTATTTGAACGAACCTGTTTTGTATCAGCGTTGCCAGATGCAGTCAATCACCAAACAGCTGTGCAACTGCCGACATTATGCCGCGGTCAAGCAATCGTACCGTGCCGCTGACACATTACGCAATGTATCAAACAAACTGAGGTAAAAAGCATACAATTTTGTCAAACTATAAATTTCAGTCACATAAATAACGATAAATTTGCAGACGCGTCGATAAGTTCATACATAGGCTAACTTTAAATAAAAGAATGCTGCGCAAAGCATCAATGATAGCCGCCGCCGTGGCTGTCGCGCCGGTTCCAGAAAATCAATCAGCGAGCAACTCGCTTGTCTGTAAGCCAAGTGAACTGCCCATTTACGGCTCCTTGCGAAAGCCAGTGTAAGTGATTAGAGTGAATTGTGAAACTCTTGACTTATTTTCCCTATCTTGTAGGCCAGAAAAACGTTCAGAGCATAAGCCGAAAGATTCTGCGCTGCAAACGAGTCTAGAGAAAAGCGTTCGCTATGTACGCCTGGAAATGCAGAACGGTTACAAGGCAGTGGGCGAAAGAACTGCCGTTGTGAGCGAATATTATAATACTGCAAAGAACCATACACAGCGATCCATCGATTTTCTGAACGAGCCACAGAATTCGATGCATCGCAGTGGCGCCATTGTAATGGGTGGACTCGCTGGTTTTATATTTGCCGCACGTGGCGGATTCTTCAAGAAGGTTGTATATACGACAATTGGTGCTGGCACCGTCGCATCCCTATGCTATCCACGCCAGGCGGAGGAGAATGTGCGCATTGTGTTGTACGAGGGGCGCAAGATTTTTGCCGTTGCCTACAACTTTATCAAAGGCGTGAAGCCTGGCGAGGAGATACCAATTGAGCCAATCCAAAAGTTCCCCACAACGCTAAAGGAGCTCAAGTTTCTGGCCCTAGACCTGTTTGACGAGGCAAAGGAAACGATCTTCCCAAAAAAGAAGTAAACATTAGCGACATGCAATTACCAGCGATACGAACCGAACGCTCAGATGTGTTATGATTTTAGTCAAATTTTACTTTTTTAAACCCACATCTATATTTCTGATCTTTATTATTCCTCTGTATATTACGTAGCAGTTCTCTCTATTGATTCTGTCGGCTGCTGCCTGCAATAAACTAAAGTTGCGTGTCAAAAGTGAAATCCAATTTGTGTTTCTTACAACTGTGGCAGAATCTTGCGCCAATTTCATTCCCATTGTTGGCCATTGATTTATTATTCAACTGGTGTCAAATGTCAACTTGGCAAAAGTGAAATTCACTCTGCTGGGAACATGTAATATCGATTTACCCCCAGCCGTACTCATCGCTACGATTGTGCCAATCATTCCCATAACCCCGAGGCTGTACATGCTGCTGACTGAAAAGTTAATGAATGAGTCGAAATTGCGGCTGCCGTTAGCTGCAATTGTACATCATTTACGCACTTGTCCATTGGGTAGCTGAAGACCACAGAAAGCCGAACTGAAGCGTCTGAATTGAAGATTGTAATAATGATAATGCATAATTGCTGTGTGCTATATTATTGTAATTGTCGCAGCGAGGGCAGATCAATCGGCAATGGTCGTCAGTCTAGACAGCATCGGAATAGAGATCACGCTGGGAACTTTGATATATTTTAAGTATTTTTCTGTTCATATATCTGCTGTACAACGTTTTCAGATCCATGTTGTTTTATATAGGAGTTAGTTTACCTTTAAAAAATTGCTTGAAATGTTTTCTTCCATTTAATCCAACTTTGAAGAAAATATAAAAACTTGTTCATACCTTTTATCTTTTACACATTATTGTTAATTGAACGTTTTCTTTTTCTCAATATTTTCAATATATTTATTTGAGCTCATCTTTATAAATAAACTTGTTCTTTGGGCAAGATACAACATAATGATGTTTGTATGCAATTTGTTTATAAATTATATAGATTTAGTTAATTGTTAATGCCTAGACTAAAATACCAACAACTGCACAATGAAAATGACTTTTCTATTATTTTTGTTTTTTTTTTTTTACCTCTATATACAAATATCGATGCCATTATATCATTTAGTACGATTCGAATTATGTTAGACAAGTTAAGATCAGCCTACAAACAATTTTCGCTAGACTAACTTAGTGGGCTTGACTAAGTGTGTGGGGGCGTGGCGAATTTCGCACAAGTTCGGTCAATGCAAATTGTTAAATTGAAGCTAACTAAGCTTAAGATTCGTTTAAATTAAAATCACACAAACTTATAGATAGACAACTAATAAATTAAAACAATAACAAGAGTTGAGCATGCACGATGTATATGATGCACGATAATTATCATCTGACATGCTCCAGTATCCAGGGCACAAACTTGGAGATGCGCGTACAGACGCCCGGCAAATTGGCCTCGGCGCATCCAATGCCCCAGGAAATGATGCCAGCTAGAAAGAAGCGGCCATCCTGGGATTTAGCCTGCAATTTTGAAGAATAGCCTGAGACCGATCACAATTTATGATTAATATGAGATTTAATTACCTGCAAGGGGCCACCTGAGTCGCCTTGGCACGAGTCCTGGCCGCCCGTTTCATAGCCAGCGCATAGAAAGATGTCTGGTATGAATTCCTGGCGACCGGCGCGCAGAAACATGGACTTGCAATTGTCATTGCTCACAATGGGAACCGATACCTAATGAATGAGCAGATGTGAGAGTGCGTGCGTGTGTGTGTGTGTGTGTGATAACTCCACTTACCTCCTGCAGCACCGAGGGCAGCGTACCGCCCTCGCTGAGGCGACCCCAGCCGGTGACCGTGGCATTCATGCCAATCAGTAGACTCTCCGTTTCGGGCAGGCAAATGGGACTGACATGCGGCGCAAATTCGAGCGGCTGCTCCAGCTTCACCAACGCCAGATCGTATTCGTACGTAAAGAAATTGTACTTCGGATGCACCACCTTCTTGGCCACGCCGCGCTCTATGTAAGGCAGCTGCTCCTGCACATGTGAGAAATCGTATTCGCCCACGCGTATGCGTATCTGCGATATGAGGAGACTGCAAATAGAGACAGAGAAAGTGAAGAGGAGAGGGAGAGAGTGTGAGGGCTCAGTTATAGCGGAAATTGCAGTCAGTTGTATGTGGTTGCTACTCACTCGTCCACACAGTGCCCCGCCGTTGCTATCCAGTTCTCGTTGATCAAAGCGCCACCGCAGCGATGGGTGCTGGAGAAGCCAAAGAACGAGGTGCGTCGCACAGACACCTGCCAGGGCCAACGACCGAAGGCCGCACTCTTGCCGCCCACAATGCGCGTCTCTGGACGCGTCAGCATCGGTACTCCGCATTCTGCATATGTATATGTATGTGCAACAACAAGTTGGATTGTGTCAAATGCATTGGGCGTGGCTGTACTTCCAACTTACCGCTTCGTGCAGCCGAAATGGTCTTCACATGGCCCAGCATGGCTGTGCCGGCATCGTGTGTGGAGGAGTCCGTTATCTCATTGGATTCAATGCCCGCCGTTGCCGGCTGCTGTACTATAGGCAGGCGTGTGGGCTGCTGCGATGTTGGATTCGGACGCGGTCTGGTCGAGGTTGATGCCGCAGCTGGTGCTCCTGCTGCTGCTCCTGCTGCCGTTATTGTTGTTGATGTGGATGTGGATGTTGATGTCGTGCCCACTGTGGTGGGCCGCTGGTAGGGCTTTGTGGGTTTCGTAGTGGTTGTTGTTGTGGTCGTTGTTGTAGTTGTGCCCTTCGACGTTGTTGTTTTTGTTGCCGTTGATGAGGAGGACGTGGCTAATGATGTGCCCGGCAACAGCTGGAAGGTAGCCAATAGTGGTAAACATTATGCTAATAGTTACCCAAGGAGCTTAAAATATTTCACATGCAAAGAATCAATTTTTCATTCCACTGCTAAATCTCTGCGGAGGCCAACATATTGTGAATCATGCAATTCGACGTTTGAATACCCTTTCCATAAATGAATACAAATATGTATGTATGCAATTTTCAGAGGGGTCTAGATTTAGTTTCAATATGATTTTAATTACTTTTTTTTTTTAATTTTGTCAGATCTATTTTACATAATCGCTGTTTTATATTTTTTTGTTAAAGCATGAAAGGGTTTTTCAATCAAATAAGTTTAAGCACTCTTTTGATACCCTAATCCTTTCCAGCAAGGGCTCAACAACACACCCCAGAGACGAACCTCTCGACTACGTCAGCATCGTCGCCAGACAAATCTTACATCAGCTTTGTGCAAACAATAAAATGTCCCCCAAGGCTGTGGCCTGCTACGGCCCCAGTCAGAGCATCAGAGAGCATTAGGGAGTCCGAGCTGATCGAGGAGTAAATGACCTCGTCGCTTGTTTGTTTCGCTTTCGACATCAATGCATCACACACACAGAGAGTGCGGCACAGAATGAAGAATTGTGGCAAGCAGACAGCGAGATGGACGACGCGTATTTACATACCTGAGGCCTGGTCGGTATAGGTTTGGGCTTGGGTTTCGGACTCGTCTGCCCCGGCAACATCATTGTCGTTGACGACGACGTCGTCAGCAGCGGCGTTGGCGGTGGCCGCTCGTAGACAATCGGCTTCTTTGTGGGCTTTGGCGGCTTGGAGGGGCGCATGGGCGCTGGCAAATTGACGATGCCGGGCTTGGTCCAGCCGGTGGGTCGCGGCTTGGTAATAAAGCTTGGCTCGGTGGTCATGTGCCAGTGATGGTGCTGTGGCTGTTGCTGCAGCGTCTGCTGGTGCGTTGATGTATGCCAAATACTATCTGTTGGTGTAATTATTATTTGTTTTGAGTCCATAAGTCTTTCATAACAATGCAAGAGGCGCCATCCTATACTCACTTGAACTGCCCGTCGCCTGGCTAGCCGCACTCTGCAAATCTGGCGGCGTCGTCGGCTTCGGATGCGGCCTGGACAGAGTGCCTTGATGTACCGGACCCGAAGGACGAATAACCAGTGTCCCGGCACCATGTGGACGCTCTATGGTTGTCATACCGCTGCATAAAAACAACAACAATTTGCTATTATCTGAGGATTTAATTGTAGATGTCGAGTTTTTAGACTGACGGATATTTGTGGAAACTATTCAAGTGTCTCTGAAAAAATGTTTTTAATATGAAAGCCTATAAGCCATACATTGTTGGTTTTAACTCTAAATTTGACCATCTCAGATTTGAGATATAGATATAGATCTTGAATTTCGATTTTATTTCTTTTTAATAAGTACAAGCTACAACTAAATTTAATTTTTTTAATCAAACATTTTAACAAGTCTTAACAAATTTTTGTCAACAAATGTTGAATTTGATGTTGCCATGTCCGTCGTCTGTTTCTATGCAAACTTGTCTCTCGGTTTTAAAGCTATCGTCCCGAAACTTTGCGTAGTTCTTTCTGTTGCAGATAGTACATATGACGAAACCGACCGGATCTTTAAAATCGGACCACTTTATCATATAGCATCCATAGGAACGATTGATTACAAATTAAATTCTTGCATGAAGAACTTTTTTGTCTGTCAAGTCTTATCAAGATCGCTTTACTATAGGAAGAAACCGAGATTCTCAGTATTTACGAGCATCACTTTTCTAATATATCTGAATGTATCCTTACTTTCTTGTTTTGTATTAATGTTGCAAATCTTAAAATTTCGACATTTTCTTTTTCCCTTTGTATTTCGGTACTAGAGTTTAGACCGAGGTATAAAATATTCTCAAAGTAATATTTCACTAAAATCTAGAACAAAACTAACCCAAATATGACATTCCATCATTTCTTATTTTTTTTAAATCCCCGCTTTCTAAACGTGTGTCTTTTGGCGGCCGTACAAATTAAAATTGTTAGTGGAGAAATTAATTTGGAAAACTCTCAAGCCAATAATATGTAAATTTCAAAGAAAATGTGTTAGATTATGCCTTTGTTTACCCACCTGATTAGCGGCTTGTGCGGCTGCGGTGGCGGTCGGGGCCGCAGTGACAGGGGCTTGGTGGGTCGCGTGTAGGAGAAGGCGGTGTGTGGCAATACAATGTTGTCGGTATAGTTGTGGGCACAGCAGGAGCCAAACATGAACGAGTCAACGCACATGCCCACGTGCTGGCCCTCGGATTTGATGCACTCCCAGACGAACATGCAGGTGCCCTCAATGCGTCCAAAGGAGCACGGCTTGGGGCTTATCTTGAAATTGTGGCTGCGCTGTAGATCTGCTGGCGTATAGTAGCCGTCCAGTCGATGCGGACTGCGATAGAAACTGGGCAAGGATGTGCTGTCATCCTCGTTTGTGGACTCGTAATCATAGCTGTTGCTGCCGACGCTCCCCCTGCTACTGCCTGGTGGTGTGATAAGCGCCGCCGTCGCTGAGGCAAGGCAATTGACTAAGATTAAGCCTACTAATAATACTTCTACTATTTGGTGTCTGCTCCTCGCTGGTATCGCTGCAGTTGCTCTGTTGACTAGCCAACGCTGTTTGGGCCACATCTTCGGGGCTGCGGTTCTGCCAAAAAAGAAAATAACAGGGCAATTTAGCATTAGACATGTTACCTGCCGGAACTACACTAGAACAGTGCACACAACACTGGCCATGTTGCAGATGACCCTCCTTCCTCCCCCTCCCCCTCCCCACCGCATTCCTCTTTTCCTTCTGATCCCTACTAATTAAGTGCACTTGTCGCATGTTGGGCACTCCAAGCAACTGCAACAACAGCAACAACAACAACAATAAAAACGACCACAACAACTACAACTAAAAAACGGGCACGTCGCCTCAGCGATTTCTACTCTTTATGATTGCCAGCTGTGGTGTGCCGTTGCCGTTGTTGTTGTTGCAGTCACAGTTGTTGCAGTTTTTGCTAGACTGCAACACCAGCCAGTGACTGGTTTAATTACAACTTTTCACTTTTGCCTCATAATCAGTTTTTTGTTTTGGCACAACGCGAACAACAAATATAG